ATACTTTTTTTTTTTTGTATCTGGTCTCAACCATAGACCAGGGGGGTCCGGCGTTTTGGGAACGCCGGACCCCCATGAACAAAAAATTCCGACCAGATTTTGGCAAAAAAAGTCAGTTTTGATTTCGTTCAAAAAATATAATATGTCCGTTTTGACGAAATGGCTGTTCACTCAACTCGAGTAAAGCGAAGTCTATGCAATGGTGCTGTAGTGCTGTTACCCACTCAGCGTCCGTAGGCCAACGACAGTCCAATGGCGTCCATGTTTCAGGTCCAACCTGTAGGGAAAACGTTCAGCCCTAGACAGTTCCTTCAGCTCTACCCGATCTGTCCTACCTCTATCCTGACCTCTTCCTTTGAGAGAGTGGAATCTGTAGAAGTGAGTAACTCACGGGTCAAAATGCAAAGGGTTTGTCAGGTCTTTGGCCAATGACTTGATTGTTGGGTATTCTATAGCCAACACTGGGTGGTTCAGCCAGGGACATCAAAAACACTACAGAAGGAGCCGTGTCCTCGTCCTCCGCAACGATGCAGATGCTATCAAACAGAGCATGACTCAATTCTTTTTTTTTTTTTTTTTTTTTTTTTTTTTTTTTTTTTTTTAAAGAACAAGTGCTCCAGTCTATTCGTGGGGAGCAGCATATAATTGTATATATTACGCAGTACTACAGAGGATTTATTATTATTATTATTATTATTTTTTTTATATTGTATCATTGAATTTTGATATTGTACATCTATAATACGAATAATATACTTTTCATTGATAATCATGAAAAAGAGAATATTTCAATACATAATAAAACAATTAAAAATAACATCATAACAAATAATAAGGGCGCATAGTGAGATCTCTTCAACTCTATTGACAAAAAGATGGAATAGCATCTCACTAGCGGCAAATGCAACATGGATGCCTGAACTTGACCATTGCATATAACTGATAAGACATAGTGCTAACACCAGATTTTATGCATACTTCCGTACTTAATAATTTCCCATTACCATCAGCGAATGCAAGGAACGAGTAATATTTGCTTCAAGCCTTGCAGACGCACGGACAGCATCAACGCTGGACCAGACCACACTCTATTAAGAAACAAATTTGCTTCGAAAAGCGTGGACAGCAAATTTGTTTTGCAGACGCACGGACAGCATCAACGCTGGACCAGACCACACTCTATTAAAAAACAAATTTGCTTCGAAAAGCGTGGACAGCAAATTTGTTTTGCAGACGCACGGACCGCCTGCATCTCACAAGAGAGAACAAGCATACCAGCATCTTGGACTTGGGCGGGACGCAACTACCATCTTCACCCGAATAGAACGCCCGGTCATTATAGCGGTATTTGGCACAACTTTTAGCCCAGATACAGCGATAATCACCGGGCGTTCTATTCGGGTGAAGACGGTAGGTGTCAATCAATGTGTCCACTGCTCTTTTTCCCCGCGAATGCAACTAGGTGTCAATCAATGTGTCCACTGCTCTCTTTCGCCGGGAAGACTGGATAAGAATAACAAGGGACTCCCCAAACCCTGCTTTGTGCATGAGCATGGATTTTCAGTTGCGAACAGCCCCCCTTCCAAAGACGAGCCTCTGTTATGATCCTTTTGACTCCTCTCTTCCCCTCCTCCCCTCTGCTTGTCTTTCCAAAATACTAGTGGGTGGACACGGCGTCATGATTGTAGCAGGAAGCAGCTCCCGCCTATCCAGAAAAGTCAGCGCCGACACGCCGTCGATAAAAGAAATCGGCGGCGGGCGTCGCGTTTCGGCCTCTGACACGATTCCGCGGGCGATGTGAGGCGTGTACTGGTGGTTTTAAGCTAACCTATGAAGTAATAAAAGCCGAGTTACCTTTTGAAAGGTCAGAGCCGTACCCTTGCTGATAATGAGCCCTTGCCTGGCTGATGACGGCAAATATTCCTGTTGCTTTCGTAACGGGAAGTCTTTGGGAAAGCCTGCTTTCACCAAAGCTTTCCTTCTAAAGGTGAGCAAACAGGGTAATGAGCCCTTGCCTGGCTGATGATGGCAAATATTCCTGTGGCTTTCGTAACTGGAGGTCTTTGGGAGAGGCTGCTTTCACCAAAGCTTTCCTTCTGAAGGTGAGCACACAGGGCGTGCTGCTCCCCACAAAAAGAATGGAGATGTGTTCGTTGGGGCTAAGTGCACCGTAGAAGGAAGAGGACCACGTTCAGCTGTCAATTCACGGCGTTCAGCTGGCATGCTATTAAATAAAATTCAATTTCAGCAACTCACAATGCAGTCAGCGCACCATCCAGGGATGGAGTGGTGGCTTACATTCGTTCAAAGGCATATATGCGCGAAGAGAGCTTCGCTTCGTCGAGTCCTTGGGACTCGATGACAAGCAAGAGGGAAACTGCTTCTCCTCGCACCCCAAAATAGATTGCACCCAATGAGAGACACAACATGCATTCAAAGTTCCCTTGCCTTCATGACTCAAAACTTGAAACAGCACTTCAACCATGAGAGAAGCGGCCAGTCATGTTCCATACTCGGTGATCACCTTGTTTAAAAACAGCAAAATGAGTCGGCAGCAGCTGCATAATTCGTACCTCTTCTGGTCTACACCGGCGTAGATAGTTCCGAAAGTTTGGGGCATTGGGCTTTGAGGCTTGAGCATACGTAACAACTCTACGGATTTATCTCCAACCCCGCATGACAAACTAAGTGCCACGCTCGTTGCACTTGCTCTCTGTTGTCCTTTTCAGTCTAGTACTTGTATATCACCAACGTAGGCCGCAAGCAAGAGACAGAAAGGGTGTGGGAATGGGGCAGACAGTGGCAACCTGGTATATCTGGAGAGAGACTACACACACACATATGCTATATGGATAACTACATGTATATATCGTACATACACACACACACACACACACACACACACACACAGACACACAGACACACACAGAGAGAGAGAGAGAGAGAGAGAGAGAGAGAGAGAGAGAGAGAGAGAGAGAGAGANAGAGAGAGAGAGAGAGAGAGAGAGAGAGAGAGAGAGAGAGAGAGAGAGAGAGAGAGAGAGGGGGGGGTAAGCCCCCAGCTTGTCAGGTATCAATAATGAAACCTGTTATGATGATAACCAGAAAAGGTCAATCGCTGACGAGCTCCTTGCCTCTCATCATATTGATCCTGCATACAAAAGACAACAGCACCACATTTAATCAAACAGAATTCTTCAACTTCTTTACACAATCCATTTCCAGAAGTAAATATCATTTTTTCCACCCCCCTGGCCATGCCTTGATTTATGTCCGTCTTCCTTGTGCAGGTGCCATGCCAGTTTTCCGTGTATATATATACAACTATAACTTTCACAGATGTCCTGACTGAAGGACATTACTGAACTATCCTCCGAAACTTCCCCGACAGTTTATTTGAATCCTTAATTATTCTTCTCTTCTCTGCTTCTGATTGGGGGGACTGTGTACCTTCTCTGTCCACTAATCACGCGATGTGATGCTTGCCCTTCTCTTCACCGGTTCACAGGCAATCCGTATAGTGAAGAGCACAGATTCATGTCCAGCGTGTTGGCAGCTCACAATCAACTCTAAGTTCTATATTTTAATATGCTTCACAAGTGGACAGCATTTGTTTTCTTCCTTTCTTTAGCAAGCAACAAAAACCACAACCATACGGTAGAAGGGTGGTAGGTTGGTAATTGACAGGGCCCAGCCCCTCCTAGCAAACAGGCTACAACTGTGCAGAAACAAAATGACTCCACCCTCCTCTTCCTCCTCCTCCTCCTCCTCCTCCTCCGGAGAGCCAAATACATGGAAATGAGCCACGCTGGTAGGTTTTCAGATATCTATCTCATACTGCCCAGAACACATAAAATGCAAAAGCGAAAGCAGGCAAATAGCCTATAAAAGAAGCCTATCCCATGTGGATAGAGACTGGGAAGCTGAGAGGCAAAACAAATACAAACGCCCATGCCCCGTAAACGCACCAATCAGACTGGGTCTGAGAAAGGGCTCGGCTCAAAAGTCAAAGGCTAGAACTCCTGAGTGATCCGGTGTCGATCTGACTAAACCCAGTCAGCATTTCTGGCATAATCGCTCCGTTGAAGAGGGCAGAAGATCCTGCTCCGAAACAACATGCTCCCATCCAAGCCTTTCTGGAAGAGCATAACAATCTTCATGAGCAGCATACCAGGCGGGCTCGTCCATAGGACTGCACAACATAAGATTGAGATCCTCCTTTGGAAGACACGTCCCAAGTATAATCTGTAGAGCCCAAATCTAAGGATGGAAAAGATGAGGACATCGGCTGCTTGACTTTGATGGGTTGACCACTGATTTTTTTTTTCCCTTTATTTAATTTTCTTTCCAAACACAAGCTGACCGGGGATTCCAATAAGGCACACAATGTGTTCTCCGTACTGCAGGAGACAGCGAAGGCGTGTGAAGACAACAAAGCGTTGCAAGGGGGATCTGTCGATCAGCAGAGGGGACATTGGAAACCAGGAGGGCAGCGAAGGACAGTGAGGGGGGCACTTTAATGTAGGGAAGAAGCACCTTCAAAGACGGTAAGATGTACGCTGCCGTCACGGACGGCGCAGTGTACATAGAAGAAAGGCGGGTTCAAGTGGAATGAGTGTCTAAATCAGAGAAGAAGAAAAGAGCACAGATCAGAAGAGATGGCGAGATGGAGCGTGTGCGATGACCAAGAAAAGTTCCCACTTCCACTGTTTCCTGTACTGAAAATGAGGCTTGGGCTGTGTGGCAGCTGCTAGAACTAACGTGGAGCAAATTAGCAGGCAAAGACATAATTATCAGTCCTTGCACAGTGCTAGCAGACAATCCGCAACCACCCAAATTCCCAAAATCCGAGCAAAATTATTTCGTATGTTCAGAAAAGAAGCAATAATATGGGCATTACAGAGAAGAAGAGGTTTAGCTAACTTTTGAGGACATAAAAACGCAGCCGAAAAATCTGGACATGGAAATAAAGAAGGGCAGCAGAAGCAGACATCACCATAGCACGGAAAAGACAAAGAAGAAAATCGAATGCTTCCCAGAAAAGGAGGATGAAACAGGACAGGTTAAGCCTTCAAGGTGCGCTTTGTCATCAACTGCATCCATATGGGATGCAAATAGGTCCACTGCATCGATATGGGACACAAGTTTGTCCACGGGGGCCAGAAACTCGTCAATCAGTTTAAGCCTTAAGGTGAATTTCTTTGTCAACTGCATCGATATGGGATGCAAATCGGTCCTAAAAAAAGTCCCGAGTGATTATAGTGCATCTTGCTGTGGTCAGGGCTGGGGCTGTGTCTCCCGCCTTGGGGTCGTGGAGGGCCTCAATTGTGGTACGCCTGGCCTGTGCTTTAGCAAGGCCAAAAAAGTTAGCATCCATTGTTCTTTCCATTTAGTGTCTAGATATTTTCCGTCAACTTCTTGCTCCTTGCCACTGGTACTGTGCATACTTCAACAGTTGAGCTTTTAATCCTGTGCCTGGGCTTGTGCTGTGGGATCTTGCTGTTCCTGTGCTTGCCAGATCTCGTGTTGTTCGAGGTCATAGTGGCATTGCATAATTTCAAATTCCTGTTGGCGTCGATGAGTAGCTAAGTTGCATTTTTTGGCGAGAAAGAAAAGGCCTTCGGGACATCCGTTAAAATTGGAGCTATACAGAGAAGATTAGTATGGCCCCTGCACAAGGATGACACGCATAAATCGAGAAATGGTCCAATTTTTTATTTTTTTTAAAGAAAACTTAGAAAAGGCCATTGTTGCATCACACGAGCTGAGAATCCGGTTCTGGCCGGCAGTCTCTCAAGTACTCCCATGCCTAGCGCAAGTAGCATGCGAAGGACCTCAGATGGAGTAGAGATGTGTTAAGCTTATAGAACTCCGGCCCGGGGTCTGGCCTTTTCAGGAAGGCAAGGATTGCCATACACACCTTATGGTCCAGACCGGCGTATGGGCTCAATGGCAGTATTGTGAATGCTGTCAGTCCCCCTGCCAAAGCTTCCGAAGCCAGGATCAAGTCAGTCCGGGATTTGGAAAGTCTGGCGGGGCTGTTACTTCTAATGCATGTGAACATTCTTCCCGTGGGGTGTGCACGTCTGAAGGTGTTAAAAACTGAAAGGGAGCCACACAGATCCTCCACCATCTTCTCATCGTCCTCTGCGTTGTAGATGGTGGTGGGGGGAACTCTCCACCGGTCCATCCACCTGTCGGGCGGGGCATTGATGTCCTCTGCTAGGATTACCGGGATGTTGGAGGGTGGGATGGTTTTGATTAGCTCCAAAAACTTCTCTTCTTTCACGGGCAGTGTTGGGGGCATAAAGGGAAATCATACATACTACTTCCAGCTCTAGCATTCCCATCACTGACACCCAATGCCCCTCCTCCTAATCCTTCTCCCAGCACTTCAAACCAGGGTCGAGGGGGATCCACACTGCAACCCCTGCTCGTCCTGCGTCGGGGGCATATGCCCGATAGGCCTGGAAGGGTCAGGCCAGCCTGTGAGCGCTGTTGTGTTGGGGTGTATCCATCAGGTGAGTCTCCTGAAAGAGGACCACATCCGGCCACGTCATTCCCCTCACTCCTCGCATGAGGTCCCATAGTGCCAGGGTTTTATCCTGACTGTGGGATGGCAGGCCATTTACATTGATGGACCTCAGATCAAGGTCCACCGTCTGCAAGGTACGTCTCCAAGCTTCACTCCTGCCGTATAGAGCTTCAGTCCAGTGTTCCTCTTAGTGACTTACCCCGCTTTTAGCCCCTATAGCCGCTGCCAGGCCTGCTGCTCCCAGTCTACCCCCTCGTTAAAAATGTTCCTTCTCAGTATTGCGCATATGTGATAAGGTAAGCCCCAAAGTACGGATCTTGACAAATTATGAAGAAAGGGGTCCGTTTCAAATTTGTGATGGCCATCTGCATGCATCTTTTGATTTTGCCCTTGTCCTTGTTCGAATGAGTCTTGTGAGGGCCGACTAGCGATCGTGCAGGAACTTCAGGAAATGGTCGGTTGGCACTGCCAACTTGGCAATGTTATTAATTTTCTTTGGATCAATATGCGCACCGCGGCTGCACTAGGCATGCAGCACAGTCACGGTCATTTTTTAATTCTTGCTCACTACACAAGCGGGCTTCCCACGTGGCACAGGTGCACCGACTTCTTTTCTTGCTCGACTTTCATCTGCGTGCCGGATTCCTGCATGAGAGAAGTCCAGCATGCCGATATGAAACGGGTGCCACCGTCGCTAACAATGTCTTCCGGTACGCCGTGGCTGCAAATCCAGCTGGTGTGCAAGAGGCGCGCAAGTTCGGGAGTTGTGGCGTAGTACTTGCAAGGGAGAAATCACGCGTATTTACTCAATCGGTCAACGACCGTGAGGATGCCATCATGCCCAAAGCGGTCGCGGGAAACGGTGTCGGGCGACCGAAGGCCAGTCGGTCGCCCTGATCTCGACAGATTGACCCTTAGAAAAGTTGTCTAAGAGGGAATCGGCCGGGAGTTTTGTCCGACCGGTTGGGAAAAATTAGGGGTACCTCGGGCACCCCTAAAATTAGAGATGACGACTGCTGAGACTAGCCCTAGAAATTGACGAGAGGGGCTACTTCTTCCGCCGCGCTGAGGCCTACCTCTTTTCCGCCAACTCCGAGCCCGTTCCCGGAACGACTGGCCGTGGGAAGGTGATTTGAGAGTGGGCTTTGGTAAGGTTTTTTTACGCTGTCCAACTGACGCGAAAATGAGACCTCATATTTTTTTAATTTTATATTAAAATTAAAAATGGGAAAAAGAATTAAAAACAATAGAAAAAGAGAGAAAAAAACAACGGATATTCATTTTTTTATTTAATTTGCTTGGTATTTAATTTTAATGGAATCACCCTCATTATTTGGTGTTTCCGGCAATAGAATTAAAAACAAGAAAAGGGATCAGAAGCAATAAAAAGAAAAGAGAAAACAAGGGATTTTGATGTTTTATTACATTTCGTCGGGAATCATTTTTGATGAAGATCCTTTTAATTTCATTATTTATGATATAGAATTAAGAAATAAGAAAAATAATTACAATAATAAAAGGGGCGGAGGAACCAAAGATTACTTAATATTTAACTAATTTTTAAATTAATTGTTCGTGATTAATTTTGACCTCGGGTTATTTATCTATTCATCTTC